CTTCTTCCTCGAAGCTTTTCTCTCCTTAGAAGCCACCAACATCGAAGCCATACTCACCATATCTAAAGAGAAGAAAAAGAGTTATCCAAGCTAAACATCAATGAAATATCAAATGCAGATACAAATGACTCAATGGTCGACCTACCTACACAACTCAAGCCAGCCTATATAAGCATAGGCTCAGCTAGAACGCTCTCTACCTCGACCTTTTGGCTGACAAATTCTTGAAGCGCAGCCCGCAGCTCCTCATCCTGACCTTCACCGAAGCTCCGACAATTGCTAAACCAAACGGTGTTCATACCCCAACCACCATCCCTAGAAAGTAAGAAAAACCTGCTTTCCCACCCTTTGACTTTATTAGGGAAGTTGGTCAACACCTAATAAGGAAGATAGAAGCATAAAGGGTCAGAAGCTCTCTTCATATTACACAAGCTAGAAAAGACATCTATACTCAGAGGGAAGTTACGTTGGTGGCGCAAACTGATTAGCCCCACCAAAGTTTGGATTGTGTTGGGCCAAGCTGGCCTAGAGATACACCATAGTACCTCAACAAAGAGATAATAAAAGGGTGAAGAGGGAATCGAAGGCCGGTGACCAGGGCCTCCTCATAAACGCACACTGCATCTTGGTTGTGATCCCAAGGATATTGATCAGCATGTGGCTTAATGCAATTGTATTCGCTAGGGATCTGGTAGGTGTGGCATAACTCCACAATCTGCTCCCCAGACGAGTCCTACCCTGAGGAACTCGCTTCATCGTCCAACCTCTGGTTAGGCGACCTACTACCGGATGGGTTGTGAGACATCGGAAGAACTAGAATACTTACCAGAAAAGGTAAAGGAGCCCAGCGACGACAACTAATGGAACCTCAACAAGAGCAGACGAAGAGTAGAACTCGAACAGCGACCTCCTCCAATCAGACACCACCCCAGGAAGCTCCAAAAACAGTGCAAGTGAGACCTTAGTGGGGACCCCTTACTTATAACCCATCTGGTAAAGAGACGAATGGTGGAGATGCATCTACAGCAAATCTACGACTAGCAGTGCTTGCGAAATATTATGAATTCAAAATTTGCGTGCCCATGGAGGGCGCTCTTTTTCAAATTTGAAATCGGCGCCGTGAAGCGCATGCCTCTTTTTTAAATTTCGCAATGTGTGCCTCTTCCTTGGATTCAAAATTTGAAAAGACTATCGCGGTTCTGCTTAACCTCGGATCGGGTGACCTACAAATTAGGTCAAGAAAGCAAGCTGGACGATCAACAAACCAGTTTGACCAATTACCTAATTGAGAGCTAGTCCCTTCACCGAACTGACGTAGGCTCGGGAGTGGGGGGCAATTGATGAGGGGTAATTTGGTCCTCTTAATCATCTCGCAACACGTGGTCTTCAAGTGACACCTCAACGCTGAGTCAACAAACTAGCTCGACAAGTTAGCCCGAGACACCTTGCCTAGGTCGACCTCTACCTTGGCAAGGGCGAACTGATAGGATCCCCAACTCATGGTGACCTGTCTTAGAAACCGGCCGAGTTGTAGGAATCCATGGCGGTCTGTGAGGAGAGCTCGGTAGCTTAGACCGATAACACGTTAACAGCCCGAGATCTCCGATGCGCATGTACCTCGACTGTTAGACCAGCCTACCGCGACGCACACCTCAGAGTTAATCGAATAGATCGTAACCTCCGTGCAGATGTTATAACCGACACATTAATGCGTCGAACTAAGCGAAAACGACTTTGCGAGAAGCTGAAGCCCGTTGTAAGAGGGCTTTGACAGTAGGTGCCTATATAAGGCACTCATTTCTACCTATAAAGGTACGTGCGAATATACACTCTCAAATTCTCTCAATCTTTCATAGAATTCCCAAATGCTCTCTAACTTCATCGAAGTGTCTTCCCTGAATAAAGACAATCCAGGCACTCTAACTCTCTCTTTCGTAGAACATATAAGCTCGACTACCTTTTAACTCGGCCCAACACAGTTCAGCCCTGACGAGGAGATATCCAAATCAGAATCTGAATCACCTTGACACGAGGGAGCAGTGAGATCGCGCGAGATCAGATTTGAATGGAAAAAAAGAAACGGGCATCTTTATATATAGGACCTGTATTTGATAGATCACAGGTTATGTCCCCAAAGAAGGCAGCTGGGCTTTACGGTGCCTTGTTAGTTCTTTCTTACAAACTCATAAAAGGATGGTCGGGGTTTGTGTTAGATCTGGATGCATGGATTATTATGACTATATGCCACTCTTTCCCATCGTTCCCACCTATCTAATAATAAATGCTCATTGTTTTGTTGTTGTTGTTGCTTGGATCTGTAACTTGCTCATCCCTCTCATGTACGAGATTGAGTGGACTGACTAAGGACTCTGATTATATTTTCACCTCTACGAAGCAACTACCCATCCTTCTACGTTAACTGAGCCAATCAGCTAGCACCACGTGGTCCTGACATGTGGGACCTTTACTCTATTTGATTGTGGGACATGTGGGAATGGGACCCCATCACATGTGGGGGGGGTGTTTCGTTCGACTTCCAATTCTAGATTCAGTTTCACGCTTTTTGGTCTCTGCCCTCCCACGCCAACCTTAAATTGCATGTACAATTGCACTCATCCATTTATTAATTGCCAAATGCGTACTTTTTCTGTGGTCGAAAAGTTATTTTTAACTGAGTTATTGAACGGATTTGCCCACGGGATTCTTCAAACAAATGAAAGAAAGACTTTCTTAGCCATAACTCTTAATTAAACAGAAAAGAATCTTATAAGAAAATGCCGAGTTTATTAGATTTTAGCAAGGCAAGGTTATAAAAGGCTGTGAGCACGGATTTGCCCCTACGGAAGCCAGACTCATTAAAATGGTTGTCTTTTCAAAAATGTCAAGGATTAGGAATGTTTATTGCAATGTTTTAATCATGGTTTTTTAAATCAGACCGGACCGGATGGTTGGACCGGAAAAACTGGGCGATTTTTCTTAAAACCGAATTTTTATCAAAAAAAACGTTGATTTGGTCAATAAACTGCTGACCCAAGTGGTTAAACCATTTGAACCATTTGACCCTTTTTATTTTTTTGTCAGAACGGGCCAATCATTCGGTTCAAACATTCGAACCGTTCAACCCAGGAACCAGACCCTGACTGATTTGTTCTCCCGGTCGATTTTAAAAGCCTTGATTTAAATATTGGAACCGGAGTAAAAACCGGAATACCCTCAGCATCCTGGTTTTACCAGTTAACCGGGCAGTTTATCCGCTCAACCCGTCAAAACCATCATTTGACTGGCACCCAAAAAGGTCATTAGTTCTTGATTTTTACGATCCAACCATCTGATCCGGGCCACGTCTTAAAACATTGATTTATTGTTTAAAATAAAACTGAAGCGGGGTCTAAATGAAAGTGTCCAAGTGTGTTTTCATTTAACCCAAGTGATGAGAATTGTATTTGCCTTCTGTTTTCTAAAACACTTTGTTTGTTTTTGTGAGAGGAATTGATAAAAAAATAGACCCCGTAACTATTGTATTTATATATTCTTCAAAACTTCTAAATTGAAGAGTGATTTGGGATTTTGAGAAAATTGAGGCTTCGTTCCAATTACTATTCCCATGTTTAATTTTAGAGATAATTTTGTAGCTGTTTGGCTCACTTTGGTTATGGTAAGTGTCTAAGAGTAGGGTCCTTTTGTATTTCTCTGTTTGTCTAATGCTTGGGGCAGATTGACTCTAAGGTGTGTGTGCATTTCATTTTTCTCCTTGAAAAAATGGCTTCTAAATTGCAGTTTCCATTGAACGATCTCATGTGGTATTTGGACAAGAAAATTATTGCACTTGAGATGGATGTCTTTATTTAGAAAAGCATTAAGTATATGCTTTCACCACATTGGAAGGATTTTGACATAATTAAGTTAAATATACTTTTGAAGTTAATCAAAGATAAATTTATGATGGGATTCATTTCATCTTGCTTTTGCTTAACAAAGACCGTACATTGCATGGCAAGACCCCCTGTATTATGGAATTAGTGACAAAGACCCCCTCTTGCATATTTTAATTTTCAACTACGACCCCTTGAACTTTAGTCATGAGACAAAGACCCCTAGCCATTAAGTCTGATGATACTAGAATGTGTTAAATTATCAAAATATCCATCTAAACTTTCTTTATTTTCTTTTTATTGCTCTTTTCTCTTAAACCCTAATCTAACCTATCTTCATGCGTTAAATTATCAAAATTGCCACAATGACCATTGATTTCCACCGGGAGGAATTAAAACCCACATTTTAGTCTTCTTTTTTTGTATTTTCTTTCTTATCTTTTCTCCTTGCAGCCCCTCGCTTCTTTTGCCAGAAAACGTCAATCTTTCTTAGCCTGAAAAACCAAGAACTTCATCCTTTCTTAGTTGGGAATTCCTTCAAGATTCAGTCTTCCTTTTTTGTTTTTTCTTTCTTTTCTGGCAACCAATCGTCGTTGTGATTACCGGAATCCATGGCGATTTGGCCGGTGATATCTTCTCACCATTTAAATAAATTTAAGAAAAGGATAATTTAGGGATTTAAAAAATTTTACATATTGAATGGGAAACAGAATCCTAATGGGTTTCTTTGTCTCACGCTAAAGTTCAGGGACCTTTATTGAAAATTAAAGTATAACTAGGGGGTATTTGCCACTGAGGGGTCTTTTTAATATATCAATAATAATAATAATAATAATAATAGTGATTGCTTCAATTATACGTGGTGGGCAATTGGAAGCCTTTTTGGCCGCCACCTAAGCGATGATGCCAAGTGTACGTCATTTTCTTGCATAACACAATTTGCGCTAGGCTGCTAGCTGTGTGTTACGATTATTTCTTAATGCAGAGAAAGGTGAGATAAGTCAATCCGCTGCACATGCCAGTGTGATCCAGTGGAGTCAGAGTGAATAAGGAACGAAAGAGTCAAGACGCAACGAAAACTGGTCTTTACGGATTCATTAAATTCTACGTCCACAAAACACGTGTTTCTCCCTTGTTGGATGGACCCTGGAGTCCCGGTGTCGCCTTCTACGTTCTCAAACCCCTCTTTTGCTTCACTTCTTTTACCTGTTTCCACCATCTCCCCTCTCTGTAATGTGGTAATCCTTTTGCTATTTACACACTTATCTGGTCTCACTTTCATAATTTCTTCCTCTCTGCTTCTCATCTTAATTATATCATACATATCAGTCAAAAGACGCATTTGCTCTCACCCTCTCTCTCTCTCTTCTCTCTGAGCATATTCAGCTTCAAGTGACTGGAATTCAGATCTGTGGATCACCTAAGCGATGGCCGAAAAGGTACGTAGGATCTCAAACCCTTACTTTGTTTCTTCTTATATATCTTTCGTTTCTCACAGACTGTGCTAGTAAGAAATGAATGCTCATCTCTGGCAACGGACTTCTATTAAATTAATACTCCAGGTAAATTCTTGTACTGTTTAATTTAATGGCAGGTTTCAACAATGGTGCTCCATGTTGACCTTGGATGCCCTCGCTGCTACAAGAAGATCAAGAAGGCACTAAGTAAATTCCCCGGTGAGTCCGCATCCATCTTTCTCCCCTCCTGCAACGATTGTGAACTCTGTCTCTGTGTGTATTCTATACTTGATGCTTATTTCTTGAAAAGAATAAGAACAAATTAAAGATGGTTTCGGTGTTGCTTCCTTCCAACTTTGACATATACATAACACAGAAATACGAGACCAGATATTCGATGAGAAACAAAACAAGGTGACCATTACTGGTTACTTTTGTCCTCACAAGCTCGCCAAGAAGCTATGCTGTAAAGCCGGGAAGTCCATCAGAAGCTATGAGATCAAGGAAGATGATAAGAAGAAAGAACCAGAAAAGCCCAAGCCGAAGCCAGCCGATCCTCCTAAATCGGACAACAAGCCTCCTGCCGCCGATAAGCCCTCCAAAGACAAAGTGGCTCCTAATCCAAAACCCGACCCACCACCACCCAAGCCCAAGGAAACTAAACCGGCTACCAAAGCGGCCGAACCGGATTCAAAACAACCTGGGCCTGCTACCAAGACACCGGCAGGTCCGGCACCAGAGACGAAGCCGAAGATGCCTCCTGAACCACAACCTCCAGTGATGGTATACCCACCTGGGCCACCCGGCCCGGCATTTGGGGTCTGTTGTACCACATGCTACCATGGCTATGAAGGGGGACCCTGCTATCATGGTTATGGCGGGATGCCTCCACCATACTACCATGGAGGAATGAGGGGTGGTTATTACGTAACTCGCTGTGATTACTTCAGTGAAGAAAACCCAACAGCATGTGTTATCATGTAATGCTACATTATATTCAGTTTTTCATGCTGCTTTCTTCCATACCATATTTGGGCTGTTGATTACATGTTGTTTTCTTTGGGGAGTTTTTAGATGATTTATTGTTAGATAGCTAGGAGTCGTCAATCAAATATGGGTTGTTAAGACTATGCCATCATGTTGTAATGGCTCAACAACTGTGTCTAGTGTGTTTTCTTCTCTTTCTCTTTCGTTACTGAATATTCAAGTTAGGTTTTGGATATATGGGTCAGATTGAGCACATTGGGTTGGGGGGGGGGCAACTCCCAACAGAATAAGAGAATAAGAGGGAGAAAAGAACAAATCGATCAAAAGAAATAGTTGTAGTTTTTTTGGGTCTATCAGTCTATAGGCTTGTAAGAATTGGTGGGTTATATTGAGAAATTTTATGAGGAGCGCCCTGAATAATCAATCATATTGCTGAATCTTGCCTGCCTGATTTTAAGCTTTAATTTAAGTTGGTTTTCTGACTTTTTGTGATTACGATGCTTTAATTCTCCAAAACGTCTCTCTCAAACCATCATATATTATTATTATTAGTTAGTGGTCTTAACATTACATCTTTATTATTAGTTAGTGGGCTGAACTCTGAAGCCAGGAAAAATTTAAAAGAAAGACATCTTTATTTTCAGTTAGTGATCTATTGACCTATTCATCAATTGATGGCTTTGATCATGTTCAATCAATCGTCTGATAGTTTCATCCTTGAAGGGGCATTCTTGATCATGTTCAGATAGTCATTAAGTCTTGTTCCCGTTCATAGAGAGAGAGAAGAAGTAATTAACTAATTTGACAAAAATTTTGCTTGAAACTTGAAAGGACTTCACCTACCTCTCTCTCCCTCCCTTCCACTTCCAGATTAAAAACGTATTAGTCAATGTCAGTTATCGCTAAAGAAAAATCCATTAATGTAATCCACCTAACTGGGCCTGCCTGATGCCAATCATCCCCTTGCGTAGTTGTGTTAATAACGGTCACGGCCACAGCCACACATATATTCTAGACGTAATTATAGAAACAATTGAGAGTTAAAGGGAGGGCAAAACCATGCCAAATTAACATTCATAAAACCTAACCCAGCCACCTACCATTAACAAAGCGAAAGGGACAAGGAAAAGTTGTCGCTTGATGCCTTTCTTGATGGACCATGGATGTAATTTAGATTCTGCTGCTAGTCATGGAGTTGTCTTCTCCACTAAGCTTTATATGTATGTTCTTAGTTTTTTGTTGCTTCAGTTTTTTCTTAGGCCCCGTTTGGTTCACAGGAATAGGGGTCCGGAATCGGAATGGGCTATTCTAATTTTAGCTGTTTGGTTGGGTAGAATCGGAATTTCATTTTCATTTTTATTGGAATAACATTCCTCAATTTGAAGGAATGGCTATTCTCTGCCTTTCCCTTGAGAATAAAATTTCATTCCTGCTTATTTCTATTTGAACCAAACAATTAAAGGAATAGACCATTCCAATTCCAATTCCAAAGGATTTTAATTCTAACTGCAAACCAAACGGATCCTTAAATTTTTTTAATTACTAGTTTAGCTAGAACTAACTAGCTACAACTCGTTTACAAGTTAACCCAAAAGACTGAGGTCCAAGAAAGATTGTATTGAAGACAAGAAACAGTAGCATAGAAGCAGTTTGTGACTCGTGCATTGTTTGTTTGGATTTTTCTCTAAGAGTAAATTATATCTTTACAGCCTATTTCCTACCTTCATCGTTAAAACTTAAGAATAAGAAATTTAAGCACAAGCTAAGTGTGATCGTGTGATAGGTAGCCATGAATAAACACAAACCGGATTTGATCCTTACAAAACCGTCGGAGCCGTGCATTGAAAACATTTTTGTAATTGTATGTTTTGATAGATAAGGACGGTTCTGTGAGGACAAATCTGAATCCAAATAAATAATGAAATAACTTTTCTAAGATGTCGCCCGTCCTTAAACAAACATTGAAATTGAAACCCACCTAATAACTGCCGACACCCACATCCCCTAGTCGGCCAGTCCCTATGTCATTCTGACAACATTCTGGTTCGCTGTTCACAACTAACAATTCCGATTAGGGGTGCTCTTTTGGTTTCGTTAAACGAAATGTGGGACTATTTTAAAATTTTTAAATTGAATAAGTATTTTCAGTTTTTGAAAAACCAGTATCCAAAACCGAAATGAAGCCAATCGGTTAATTAGTTGATCCGTTCGGTTAATTATCGGTTTTTATATTTTTCTGATATTTATAATATAGTAAAAATAAATATATAATAAAAATATTCAAATGTAAATAAAATATTATATTATAAATATAAATAATATATTATATATTATTTATAAATATTATATATAATGCATATATATATATATTCATTTATAATATATAGATAATATAAAAAATATATATAATATATAAATATACATATAATATATAAATATATGTATACTGATCAGTTCAATTAACTGTTGGTTTTTTATATTGGTTAACTGAAACCAAACTGGTACATTCAGTTTTTTGAAAATATTGAATCAAAACTAAACCCATCAGTTTAGTTAACCAAAATTTTTTATTCGGTCTTGTTATTTGCTTCAATTTTTCATTTTTTGATGATCACCCCTGTTTTGATGGTTCAGATAAACCTATTCAAAGAAATAGAGCGAGAGAGCGAGCGAGAGAGAGAGAGAGAATCTAGATTATGCACTCCCCTTCCACTCTTAGGCTATGTTTGGTTTGAAGGAAAAAGTAGGGAAAGGTAGGGAAACCTTTACAAATCTTGTATAGGTTTTCCTACCTTTCCCTTCCTTTCCCTACATTTTCCTTCAAACCAAACATAGCCTAAGAGTGGAAAAAGGGATTGATAAGAAGAACCTGGAGCGTTCTCACTGTGGGGGAGAGAGACACACTAAGGATACCTGCTACATTCTCCATCCACACTTGAAACCAACAGCCTTGAGGAATGACAAGAAGCCAAACAAGGGTCCTAACTATAGTTCAGGTTATGTTGCCAACCCAAATGTTATAGATGGAGGTTCTAAGGGCAACAGTATTAGCTCTTCCAAAGTGAGACAGACCACTACTTCACCAAATAGTTTCCCTAAGTTTACAATCGAAGAAGTAGATATCCTCAACCGAGCTATGGATAGGTTGAAATAATCATCCATTGCTTCCTCCTCATTTGGGAAGACAAGTATAACATTTACCCTTAATACTATTCAATCATTTTCAACAAACTCTTGGGTTATTGGCTCACGAACCTTTGAGCACATGACAAATTCATCTTTTTTATTCACTTCTTACCATCTCTCATCTAGGCTTGATGAAGTAAAGTTTGTAGATGGTTGTCTTTCCAATGTTTCTTAGAGACATTCAACTAGGAAAAGGAATCGTTCTCAAATATGCCCTACATCTTCCAAATTTCACCATAAATTTAATTTTAGTCTAAAAAATAACCAAAAACCTAGATTGTGTTGTAACCTTTTTTCTCACTCATTGTGTTTTCTAGAATTGGCTAACGAAGCAAGTGATTAGGAGTAGTCATGAATTGGTGGCCTCTACTACCTTGATAATGATACATGCTCTACTCTGAAGGCCTCCACTAGTGGCAACAGTAACAAGGAGCCAAGCACATCCCTTTTCATTTGGCATGCTAGATTAGGTCATGTCTTTTTCATTGTTGAGAGTTTTGTTACCAGAACTATTTGAAAATGTGTCTATTGAAAGTCTACTTTGCAATGTGCGCCAGTTGGCAAAAACACCTTGAGGAAAACTATCCAAGTTCTTTTAGTAATGTCTCTACTTTTTTTTATTTAGTTCACTCTAACGTGTGGGGTCCTTCACCCATTATTTCTTTGGATGGCTATCGCTATTTTATCAGTTTCATTTATCACTTCTCAAGGGGTAAATGGGTTTATCTTATGGAAGAACATGAGGAAGTTCTTAGAATGACTATGATATTTTGTAAAATGGTTAAAACTCAGTTTGGAAAGAAAGTTAAATTATTCAAATGGACATAATCACATTACTCACTTTAAGTCTAATATTAGGTCGGGTCGGGCTATTTTGACAAAACCCGAGCCCAGCTCGAATTTATTGCGGGGCAGGCTTTTTGGCCCGAATTTAAGCCCGCGGGCCTATAACAACGTTCAAGTCCGTCCGGGGGCCGGGCCGGGCCGGACCGGCTCGTCGGGCCACCCGGCCCATGAACAGGTCTAGTCCTAATCTAGCATGCCAAACAGAACGATTCAACAATATAAGTAGAAGTGTTCTTAGTCATAATAATATCAGAAATGTTTAGTACAAATAGTTCACCAGCATTGTATCCTTTTTTAATAAATACATTATTTTTAGTCAACACAAATTTGTCTGCTTTAAATATTAGCTTCAGTCCTACTTTGTTGAAGAGTGCTCCCGATACCAAATTTCGTCTAATCTCTGGCACATGTAGCACATCATTCAACATAAAGATTTTTCCTGAAGACAGTTTCATGAGCATTTTTCCTTTACCGATGACCTCCGATGTTTGTGAGTTTCCCATGAAGACTTGCTCTCCCTCAGATTGAGTTGTGTACTCATAGAAAGAGTTGTGGTTCCTACATATGTGCTTAGTTGCACCAGTGTCCAATACCCACTCATTCGGTTTATCAACCAAGTTTGCCTCAGTTACCATTGCTGCAATAACATCATCAGTCAAATTAAACTTTGGTTTCCCAAAGTCTTTTTTCTTTTGGTATTGACAGTCTTTCTTGTAATGCTTGGGTTTGCCACATACATAGTATTTTCCTTTCTTTTGTTATTTCTTGAATTTCTGATAATTTTTCACATTCAAATTCCTTTTGAATTTTGTAGTCGTTTCCTCATCCAGATTGGTTTTGGAAATATGATTTTTCTCATCCTCATCTTTCTTTCTATTATTTTCTTCTATCTTAATTCAGATCACTACTTGATCTAGTAGTGTCATTTCTCTTATGCTTCATACTTGTTTTGAAATCATTCCATGTATGTAGCAATTTCTTTATGAAAGAATTAGCAATAAATTCATCTGGCAATATCATGCTTTCCTTTGCTAGTTCCCCCACAAGCATTTGAAACTCATCTATTTGGGAAAACATGTTCATGTCTTCTTTGATGGTAAAATGTAGGAAATTGACAATCACATATTTTTTATTCCCAGCATTTTCCAGAGAATACTTGTTGTCCAATGCATTCCAAATTTCATAGGCAAAATTATAGGAAGAGTAGACATTGTACAGTTCATTGGATAAGCAATTGAGGGTATGGTTTTTATAGAGGTGGTCGGTCGTAATCCAGTGTTCCACAAAAACAGAATGGACTGGTTCCTCCATGTTCAGTGGGTTTGGTTCAGTCAAGGGAAAGGCTACCCCTAACTGCTCTAAGGCAAATAGAAAGCGTTATCTCCAACGCTTATA